CTTGTCAGTCTTCTAATTCGAACTAAGGGCACCTGAAGCGCTTTTTGGATTTCGCTCAGAAAATGCCTGTGCGCGTCAGGCCCATTTTTTCACTGCGATGGTTGAACACACTGTAATCAATCCTACTCTATTTTTGAATGTTTTACGCAGACTAATTCAGGCTTATGGAAATTTATTAACTTAGAAGACAATAAGGGAAGCTTTTCTGAGACAATGAAACTCTTTTCGTCCAGAATACTCCTGTTTTGTTGTGTTACTCTCCGCTACCAGTGAAAGGAAGTTATTAGAAAATGCCAACTGACCAGTTACAGACTATTGGACAGGGAAGCAAAACTCTCATGTGCATCTTGTTTACAAAAACTGAACATCCATCGTCTCTTGAACGCACCTTCCTGAATTTTCCTGGGTATTCATTGAGTGTTACTCAGATCCAAACAAATGCTACAAGGCGACCCCACAAAGTCCGCAACAGATCTCTCTTTTCAAGAGACGCAAAGTGAAAATGCAAGAAGAAGACATACTACTCGCTTGCCTCCCCATCGGTAGTATCACCGTTACACCAGGAACTCGGATGTGGGGTCAGGCAGCAAGTTGACGTGGTCGCAACGCAATGTGGTGAGTCAAAAGAACTGATGAACAAAGTATGTGGAGATTGTTCACTTAGTTTGTGCGCTATATGAGACCAGACCGCACTGCAAATAAAATAGGGAATCAAAACAAGAATTCGGATGCCAGGAAAAGTCAGTTCAAAAGCAACCTTTTTACGAATAATGATTGTTTGTCGGGGCGAGAGATAGAATATTGCTTGTAGTGTGAAGAGATTCGAGAGATCCAAACTCAAAATCACTCGGATAGTGGTCGAAAAAGCTACGAGTGGCTTGGAAGCGTTATGACGAACTCACACTTAGAGGTAATAGAGGGCCACTGATCCATCAGTCAAGGGAGCCACATCACGTGGTCACCTATTTACTGGCTCGTCAATCGGCAACCTCTCAGAAGGAAGTCACTCATCTTGTGAAATTATTGTTCCTCCAATCTACTTGTAGATTGTTAGTAGTGTGAAGATATTTGAGAAAGTTAGTTTGGCTTTTATCTTGGTGAAGCTAACCCATATAGAAATGCCGAGAAGCCTTGTATGGCGGTTTCATCCCTAATTATATTCATCAGAAAAGTTCTATGCACAAAGAGCCTACACTGCTAACCGAAAATTCTTTCGGGCAGGAACAGGGCCTTCCTTTTTTATTGTAGAAATGGTCCTCAGGACAATGCACTTATACGAGGTCCGTGCGCACAGCAACCTTCGCTGAAAGTGACCACTACTTGGGTACTACTACTATGTTCATGGTGATATGGTCTCTCTATTGCGGGCTGCAATCATGATCAACAATAAACCACTCTTCTCCCGTGGTGACAGTTTCCCTTGTGGTTCACTGTGTGCGGCCCGATATTAGGTGCAGGTTGTTTAGGGATTACCTCATCATCATCGACAGCATGACATCAATGTTCAACACCGATGCTTCACTGCCGTCACGAAGAGACTGAACCTTACCGTGGTGTGACGGTTTGCGCACCTCAGCGATCCATTGAGCTATACTGGGTAGTTTCTCGCGACACTCACAGAGTCTCTCATACCAGGTTGGTCCATGGGTAGAGGTCCGACGAACACAGTCTCCTGGCCCTCCAGGTTGGGGATTGGAACATGTGGCGACTTGCTCCGTAGAAATGGTAATGTATTTGCATTTCCCGCCAAACATCGCTGCCTTGTGGTTAGTTTTTTTAGCCAAAGGCTTTGGTTGAGGACCCTAATCGTCCTCCTGTCTAGGTGTGGGCGCCCTAGCAGTATCCCAGCCCTCGTAAAACCATGATATTCTAGCTACGGCAACCTGAATGGGTTTCCCAAGTAAAGCTACTGAGAATAAAGTTCGATATCCGCCTACCCTGAATTGCATACCTTCAATTGTGATTTTTGTGTGTGATTTATTTCCCATGCCAATAAACTAAGAGTTAACTGAAGAGTCCGGAACCAGCAAACCCACTTCAAGTTCTACAGGACGTAGAGTTTTATTCAATTGATTCGGAGTTGCATGTGCACTCCAATCCATCCAGAGCCCGTTTTTACCCGTTATTTTCTGATTAGGAAAACCGTGACAGGTGCTAGACAGCCTGATTTTCAGATCCCTACTGTGTCGCCTCGTCCCCATTCACTTGTCATCTGTTGGAGAATGTTTGTAACACATCGAGAAGCTTTTTTCTCTGAGACGTTTGGAAAACACCCGGTAGATCCGTCGCTGGACAACAGTTCGCTTTAGACACAAAGGTTGGCCGACTAAACAAGTGTTAGGAGCCTGATAAGTTATTTTGTTTGTTCGCCTGAATTAGCCAGGTATGATGGTTGGCTCGTCCGGTTCATTTGATACAAAGACTCATTTTTCGACGAGGTATTCAGCTGGGTTCCAGGTGTGACTCCCGTAAAACCAAATTGGTTTGCACTTGAGTGTACTTCGCTTATCTAGGACTGTTCTGAATGTGCTCAACAGCTCTCTGCCTTACAATCACTTCGCTCTGGGGTGGTTTGTGATTTCCAATGCCTCTGTTAAAAGTCGCTGCGTTAAATTTCGTAGGCACCATCTTGTTCGTCCGCGTTTATTGGTTGTTTGGATCCCCTCCCTCCATTCTAGCGTCCAGTTCCTTCCTT